GAGCGTCTGGGGCTTGGTTCATTTTTGTCAAAAGGAAAGTAAGAATCCGTCCGTGGAGCTGGTTGGATCGTACCAAAAGTAGATGACAGATTACCTGTATGGCTGCATTTATTGCAATGACTGTGGTTGTCATTTGGTTGGTGGGAACATTTATATGTATGGGAACCAAAATGGCTCCAGATTGATCATCCTGCTTCCTATAGAAACATCTAGAGAAGCAGATGTGTGTTGCCTTTTTCTGGAGAGCCGGACATGAACCAGACCAACCAGGTCGCCCTTATTGCTGCAGTCTTTTCTCTTCAAACCAAAATATGCTGCTTAAAAACACGTTCTTATAATGTAGAGCTGACAGAAAAGTGGGCAATCAAAAATGCCAAAACCTGTCTGGTGCTAGATTCTTAATATGAGGATTTGTTCACATCTGTCTGAGTTTCGGACTGACAGACAAGACTATCTAACATCACCCAGAACTTTAAAAGAGTGCATGCAATTTTCTGTAATTTTAAATACCAAAGGATTTGTTGATTAATTAAATAATAACCAGATTAATGGGTAGTTGCACCTCTAAATCTCACCTTTGTGTTGCTTGTCTGTGATTTTGATTTGGTGGCAGAGGTTGTACAACCACAAAGCAATAATTCTAGTTTTCTGCTGAACGTTTGGAAGTTCTGTGGGCAGTGTGTTGGATGCAGCTTGTTAAACTCCCCTAAAAGTGTTTTCTGTTTAGACTCTGTGGCTGCCTTGTTGGCCTTGAGGGGTGGGACATCACACGCTCGCTGGACTGCTGCAGGAGACATTATACTGCTTGTACAGAGTTGAGAATATGGGCTGTTGTGTAGGATTTTCCCAGGGGAAGCAGCGGTTGAGGGAAATGAAATTGGTGACAGGATACTTAAAAGAATCTTTTTCAAATACTTAGTGCTTCAGTACTTGTAAGGAAAAGTAAAAAAAAAAAAGTGGCAGAAGGAGTGGGAAACGAGGATAGTGGTGAGCTCTGTGTAGCAGTAGTAGTTTTAACCAGGTCACTGTGGTCTAGGCAGTTACATGAAAGTTTTAGGCGAACATCCAGGTGGTCTGTGTCAGTGTGACAACTTAGAAACAGTACAGCAGGTTGTATTGTCCTGTGATAGACAGAGAAGTGAGAAGCAACAGCTTTTTAGGGAAATAACTTAGAAGTCTGCCTATGGGGGGCAGCATTACGCCACACACCCTGCTGGAGTCTATTAGAAGAAGATGAACTGTTAGCCAGCAAACAGTGATGCTGGATTTAAAATTGTTTTAGATGCTGGTTTTGTAAATATTTTATAAGGTAGAAATACTTAGAGCTCAGACTGTGAGTTTTGGTGAGTATCACAAACCAAAGCTCGTTTAGTGTGATTACAGTCAGAATAACCTTTGCTTCCCGTTCTGCCAGTAGAGCCTGAGTGCAGCACTAGTAAGGCTGGTGATTCCACACAAAGGTGAGATCTAAACAGCATGTTTCAGTTTCATAAGAGAAAAGACTGTAATTGATTAGCGACTGGTCGGCTAACTTCCAGCGAAGCAGCACACACACAGCGGATGAGACAGCCCCACGCGCTGCTACTAGACTGACTGACCTGAAAGAAAGAGCGACTCTGCCATCTTTTATGCACAGACCTTCTCTCTAAAGGTCTGATTTCTACTTTGAGCACTCGGAAGGATAAAATACAAAGACTGTTTTGTTGCTGTTTGTGTCCTTTTGGAAAATGCATAAGTTCATTTCAGCTGTGTTGCCCCAGTTGGGCAGATTTGATTTGTAGACAGGGTAAAAAAGAAACGCACAACTAAAGTCATAGCATTTTCCTACTAACAGGCGATGTCTAAGACTTACTTTAAACAGCTGCTTCTTTATTTTGAAAGCCTTCAATCATTGAACGGTTTCCTCTTTCTCTGTCTTTTCTTTAATATTTCTCTGTTGTTTTTCTGTTGTAGGTGAACAATTACAGACGGTGCCTTAAAGAACTGAGTCTTTAAAGGGACACTGTTAAATCTTTTTTAAACATTTCCACTGGGAATATTTGCATACTATAAAAATAAAGTGGTGGAAATGGATGTTTGAAATATGACAGAAACCAAAGTGAAACACTTACTCTAACTGCACCAGGCCATGCTTCAAAAATGTGCACTATTCCTTTAAAATGTTGCCAAAGTCTAGTGAAGAGAAAGTAATTTTCAGATTTCTCTCTGACAGGACATATAAGAGCTTTGTTTTATAATGAGATAAAATAAGACAATTTTAGGGTTTATTAAAAAAAGATGCTCTTAGACTGGATCCGCTAGATTTTTATTAGCGTTTGTATGATAAATTTATTATTGTGGCTTATTTGAATATAGTTCAACTTAAAGGAGTGATCGTTTTGTTTTTATTAAGGGTTTTAAACAGTAGACCCAGACTGAGAGTCACAGTGGAGCAGACTCTTTATCTGAACGCTAAGACCAGCATGTTTATCAGTTTCTGTAACAGATACTGATTATGAGAGTGGAGCCTTATACTCATATTTTCCACAACAAATTTCTGTCCTCTTCCTCTTTCCTGTTTCTGTCTTGTGGTTAATTTATCAACGCTCATGCTCGGACCGGGAGTATCGACCAAACACAGCCCTTCCAGCAGAGAAACATAGAAGTAAAAGAGTTAAAGGCAGACATT